GAGGGGGGCAGGGGTTGGGGTGGGTGTTTTTTCTTTCCTTCCTCTCTTTAAAGATGCAGGAGTCAGACCATGAGAACTACAAACAGCCTGTGATCAGCAGCAGCACCTGGGAGTCTGCAAACCTGGGAATGTGTTCATTCAAACTTCCAGCAGCATCCCATCCTGGGCAATGACCAACACAACACACTGCAGTCCAAGAAGATCTCCCTCAGATCCTACAGCCCGCAGCCTTTCCTGCAGCAAATCTACAAGAGTGAGGTTTTTCTATTCATTCATAGGATGAGGGCATCGCTGGCTCAGCCAGTGTTTATTGCCCATCCCTAATTGCCCAGAGGGCAGGTACGAGTCAATCACATTGTTGTGAGCCTAGAGTCACATGTGGGCCAGACCAGGTAAGGATGGCAGTTTCCTTCCCTAAAGTGAACCAGGTAGGTTTTTCCTACAATCAACAATCATGAGACCCTTAACTGCAGTTTTTTTTAAAATTGAATTCAAATTCCACCATCTGCCATGGTGGGATCCAAACCTGGTTCCCCACAATATGACCTGGGTCTCTAGTTTAACAGATCAGCGATAATACCACCAGGCCATCACCTCCCCAAGAGTGTGTGGCCGTGCATGTATGTGCGTGTGTGCGTGGCCGTGCATGCGTCTGCGTCTGTGTGTGCGCGTGCGTGTGTTTGAGTGCCTGTGCGAGACCGTCCCTGCTGGGCACTGCCTGAAATAAGGCACAGGAATATTTGAAGGTTACTGTGTCTCTAAGGAGAGGATAGTCGTTCCAAAACCTTAACTCTGTTTCTCATTCCACAGATGCTGCAGGACCTGCTGAGCTTCTCCATCATTCTCTCTGTCTATGTTTCTGATGTCCAATCTCAGGGCAAGTCACTTTACCAGATGCAAAGAACAAATTATATATAATATACTTTTTCTGTAGACTATATTATAACAGGATCTATTAACAAAAGTCTGGCACTTTTCAGAGTGACTCAATTTTATTCAAATTGCTGCAAAACTTTGAAAGATGATCATAGGAAATGACATCACAAAAAATCCCAGAGTTACATCAAAAACCTCCTACTGACAAATACAGTCTGCTCACACCTTCTGCACAAGTAGCATCATCTCCGATTATCAATGACGTTTTTCTTAATAACCAGTACGGTGAAGATTCAAACCAAGGCCTACATCGAACAGATCAGCAAATGGTGCCTGTTCTGTGATTTCGCCCCGATTTTATTAAAAAGGCTGACCTCTGATACACCATTGACTATGGAAAAGAACGTGGCTTACAGCTGATGGAAATGCTTTGTTTTTGAAACAGTGTCACTGATGTTGTTAATCTCCCACACATCCGGTATATGAAAGGATGAGGATGGGGTTCATGCAGGAAATTCGAGAGGTTAAGACCTAGGTGACTGAAGCCATAACCACCAAAGGGGGAGCATTGAAAATCAGGGTGACTTGAGAGTGCAGAATTGGAGCACTGTAGAGATCTGATTGGGTGTGTGTGGGCAAGGTTCTGGAGACTGGGTTTACAGTGGAATGCTGAAGCCATGGAGAAACTTGAAAGTAAGATTGAGAACTTTTAAATGGAAGTATTGCCAGGACAGGAGCCAAGGTAGGTCAGTGAGCACAGGGTTAGGATACAGGCTAAACTTACAGCCCCACGCAATTACCAGATTATTGGATCTCCACTAGTCCCAAACACCCCCATCCCCTAAGCACGGGCATGTAACAATCTCAAAACCTTTACTTCAGCCACACTGCTGTCAATAAACTGATGCAACGATCTGAAAATGGAGCCTGACGCAGGAAATTCTCAGGTTGCACCGTGTGTTTCTGCTGAGCAAGGTGATCTCTGTGGGCAGCTCAAAGTCGGGGGGAGGGGCGGTGCTAGGGTACAGCTGCTGAAAATCAGGGTTCTCAATCCTTCCAAGTATTCTGTGTACGAAGTACATGTGTTCAGGTGAGTACACGCTGGGCTCAGTGATAATACTCTCTATAATCAAGCAGCTACTGACACGGTCAGTCCTCAAGACAGTCCATATCCAAGTGAGAGTTAGGAGAAGTAAGTTGGAGAATGATACATAAATGTACATGAACCACAAACGGAAAACTTCAGAGACAGACAGAGAGACAGACAGGAAGCTGGACAGAGGAGCTTGCTTAGTCCTGACAGTACTGTAGACTAACAGTGTTTATTGGATGTTGGCCCCAAGCTGTGTGAATACGCCAGTTGTGGGGAGGTCTCAGATCTGAGACAGGAGCATAAGGGTCCATTGGCATGGGGCTTCAGGTTGCAACAGGAGTGTCAGCTGATCCGACACAGGCCTCTTACAGAGAATAAAAACAGGAAGGTTATTTTTCTTTGAGAGGAGGGAGAGTTGAGTGTATGCTGTAAAATCCCCTCCCCCACACAAACAAACCACCAACCACATCTTCTGCTTTATGGCTTTGTACAGGAGACTCAGAGAGAACTGAAAGTTCGAGAACTGGGAGGAAAGCATCAGGACCACAGTTCTCAACTTGGGAGTCTAGTTCAGTTAGAGGCTGCCAACTCTCCAGGAAGGAGAGATTCACCTGCAGGACACTGAAGGGAGCAACATCAAGGAGGAAGATCACTGTGGTGTTAAAAGCAGTCACGTTCCTCCTAAATTTGTTGGAACAGTTTTGTTGACTGGATATAATGTCTTACATCAATCAGATAATCGATTCACTGTGTTTGGCTGTGGAGGCCAGTGAGGATTAATGATTAATAGCATATGGGGGGAAAGGGTGATGAAGCAATGACGTGAGAGTGAATCAAGTGGAGCAGAATTGTTCTTCAAGAAGAGATTTAACTGAAATTAGAAACAGTCATTCTAGAATTTCCTCAAATGTCTTCAATGGATCAGGATAGGCGAGAAAACACTAAGTGCTTCTGGGGGGCACTGGGGGGTAGGGGGAATTAGAACTCAAAATAATTCCTTAGGCTTTAATTATTTCGAGGTTGCGTTTGAATACAGACTTATCATGAGAAAAACTGCACTGTGTCCCAGCAATTACTCAATGGAAATGGCAGAAATATTTGAAAGGAATAAATTCAGAAGGACTGCCGGGAGTAACAACGGGAGGAATTAATTGGATAATGGCACCAAGAGGTCAGTGAAAGGTTTGTCGTGTCAAACAGACTCTTTCCTGTGTTGTTTTGTATGATAATTCTGTGACTCTAACAGACAGACAATTCTCTGCCTGTTTCAATGCAGTTCAACGTGAAAGTCAAATATCAATTTTCTTATTCCCAAGAAGCACAAAGTGCTGAGAGATTTGTAAGATAATGGGAAGCATATCTTCCAGCATCTTACCTCTAGAACTGGCCCCGCCCCTAGGATGGTTCTCTCGACCCCACTGGCGTAGCCCTTCTGGCTGAGAGCAGTCAGGCAATGGATGAGGAAATTGGTGCTTTGGGTTTTCCCAGAACCACTCTCGCCTGAGATCACAATGCACTGATTCACCTGCTTCCTCCGCATGGTGTTATAGGCCACATCCGCAATCGCAAAGATGTGAGGCTCCAGCTTCCCCAGCTGGTGGTTTTCATACATCTTCATGTATTTGGGATTGTAAATGGGCAGGAACCTAAAGGGGTTGATGGCAATCAGGATGCTGCCAGCATAAGTGTAGATCTTGTGTTTCTGGAACCTGGTTTTGAAGGTCTGTAAGATAGTCTCTTCAGTCAGATGGGGCAGTTTGCACAGGTCATCATACAGGTGTGACTGAGGAGGCAGGAACCCACGCTCCAACAGTCTCCTTCTCTCCCTCTCCTTCGCTACCAGCTGAAGGTTGATGTAACGAATGGAGCCATCGGTGTTCCTCTCCTGCAGGAGGAAGTAATACCCCTCACTCTGCGAGTGCTTCTCCTGTGCCCTCCGTGGCCACAGCAGCACCCGTTGGACTGGTAAATCATTGGCATCGAGGATCCACTCCTCTCCTCCAGACTCCTTCACCTCTGCCAATACGTAACATTTTGATGTGTCTAGGTTCAGTTTGCCAGTCACCTCTCGGATCACTTCCCCAGCTGTCACATCTTTGGTAGCTGGTAGTTGGCAGCAGATGGAGTTCTCAGTATAGAGGCTTGGGCAAATCTGAAGGGTATAGATCTTGCCCTCTCGGTTATCTGCATCTCCAGCATCGTTAATACTCATATTGCCTCGTGTCGCCCACTCACCATTCCGCACTCAATTTGTGCTCAGGGTACGTCTCCATCAATCTGCAAGACAGGAGGATAGAGAGGGAGAGACAGAAAGTACACACAGACTTTTAAAGGTCTCTTCAAATACATTTCAAACTCACCGAGAGGGAAGATACACAAGTTGCAGATTTCCCATCAAACCCTCCCAGGACAGGGACTGCACAGGGTTAGGTACAGAGTAAATCTTCCAAACTGTCCCCCATCAAACCCCCTCCAGGATGGGGACAGTACAGGGGTAGATAGAGTAAAGCTCCCTCGATGATGTCTCAGAGACTCCCAGAGTGAGTACAGTGCAGGCATTTCTGATCTCTGTTCACTCTCTTTGACTATTCCACTGTTTCCATCAGCAACTTCACCATCCTCAACATATTCTCCCTTCAGACCCCTGGCAGCTCTACACAAACACATCTTAGTAATAAAATCTTCTCTGCTTGCACAGTCAACTCTTGCTGTGGAGCATAATAGTACGAATGGCAGGGTGAGTTTGGCAGGGGAGTGAGGAATGTGGGCCACAAGTTAGTTCCCAGTCACATGGGCATCATTCAATTCTAACTCAGAGCTGGCCCACCATCAGGTTGAAAGTGGAGATTGATTTGACTGATGTCATGGTTTTGCATCTCTACTTCTGTGGGAGTTAATTCAATGCTTCAAGCAAACTTTTCTTTTCAATTTTCATTATTGTGAAGCTGCAAAAGTTAAAGTAATTAAGATTATCATTCTAAACTGATAAATTTGAAATTCTTGAACGAAAGGATCTGTGTTCCCCATTCACTGATTGCCCAGGAAGGACGGTGCAGGAGCACCTTGCAGTGTTTTCGATACAATACAACCTGGTGATACAGTGCTAACGGTCTGAAGCAGGGCTTTCACCTCCATCAGTAACTCTGGGCATAAGGACATGGGGCAAGGACTGAAAGGAGCTGGTCTGAGATTTTCCCCATCATTGAATTACCAGGTGTCAGTTCCAGAGAGAGGGGTGAAATTCAACTGATGCAGTAGTCAATGACTCAACATTAATTCAAAAATCGTGAAGGGGAGGCGGATATGTGTGAAATTTAGACAGTTATCACAGAACCCAGCATCACAAAACTGATCAATTTTATAATGTAAACAAGTCCGTGACACTTGGCACCTGATGATCACAATTTCACAGATATTTTTGTGTTAACTTTGTTTTTAATTATAAATTGCATATCCATGTTTCGAACGGAATTTACCATTTAAACTCATTCTACCATCAGGCTGACAGTTACACAACAGTTGAAATGCTCTCTGCACATGTCATGTGCCCTTGGTCTTCTTGAGAAATGAAATGCCAGTTGATACCACAACCATCTTTTCCATCTCAGTAACATTACCCCCTGCCCCCACCAACCTCCAGCTCATCTGCTAAAACCCCCTTTTCACATTGTTGTCCCCTCAGACTCAACTACCTCAACATACTGACAAGCTTCCCACACTCCATTCTCTTTAATTGTTAGCTTATCCTAAACTCTGTCACCTTTGTCCAAACTCATGCCAAGCTCGTTTCACCATCAGCCCTGCTTGCTGACCAGCTACTGGCTAAGCAATGACTCACTTTTAACCCACATATCCTTGGAATTCCACCCATGGCCTTACTCCTTCTTATCTCTAACCAGCCACATCTCCCATAGCCTCTGAGTTAAATGCTGCCTCAAATTTTGATCTTATCTTCATTCTCAATTGTAACTGTTGCACCAAACAAGGCAGGGTCTTCAGCTGGAGAGACCCAAATTCTTTCCCATTCTCTCCTCCTTCTAGAGGTTTCAGAAAATGACCTCTATAACCAAGCTTTAAATAATGATCCTCATGTTTGGGACAATTTATTATGAGAAAACAGCACTGCCCAAAGTGGTCTCACAAGCTGAAATTTTGAGGTCCTGGGCTTGCCTCTGTGCTCAGCATTTCAAACAGTTTATGCTCAAAGGTTTTTTGAATATATTTAAGAAAAAGTGGATAATGTATTATTCAGGGAAACTGTACATTGAGTGCAAATGCATAAGGGGAAAGAAACAGATCATACATTTCCTGTATTTTTGGTTTTCTATTCTATTAACTTCAGAAATAGTATTAAGCTTAGGGATAGACAGTGTGGTCTTTCTTGTTTTAATTCAGTTCATTTTCCCAAAAAATGATTTTGAATTTTCAAGACATCAACTAATATGTGATCATGGTGTGAGATAAGTTTGAACGTAATAATTATCCGCATTGTTAACTGTCAACGTAGACATTGCACTTTACGCCAATTCTAATTTTATTCCGTTCTGGATGAATAGTTTATTTATCTGTGGCCCTTTTAATTTTTCAGCACGTCCGTGCATGCAGGGTAACTGAAAAGGCCTGGTGTGCAACTTGCTTTGCAGCTTGCAGACAGCACTGCCTGATCATTGTTAATGGCTGGAATCAAAGTGACACAAAGGCTAAAGGAGGGGCACACAGCTTTCCCAAATCCTTGGCTTCCCTTCAGGGACAACTTCCACACTGCTAAATGACAGCAACCTCCCTTAAAATACATCCAACCAATCAAACTCATCCAAGGAATTCATCATTTCTTCCCCCCACCCCATCCCCCCTGAAGTGCCAGAAATCCCAGAAAGAGGAATGAGAAGTGATCTCAATGAAATATATCAGATTCTTAATGGACTTGACAGGGTAAATGCTGAGAGGATGGTTCCCCTCATTGGAGGGTCTAGGCCCAGAGGGCACAGTCTCAGAATAAAAGGGGCACCAATTTAAGACAGATGAGGAGGAATTTCTTCTCTCAGTCGGTTGAGAGTCTTTGGAACTCCCTACCACAGAGAGCTGTGGGGGCAGAGTCCTTGTGTATATTTTAGGCTAAGATCGATAGGTTGTTGGTCAGTCAAGAAGCAAGGGTTATGGGGAAATGGCAGGAAAGCAGGGACGAGGAATGTCGGATCAGCTATGATCCTATTGAATGGCTCGAGGGGCTGAATGGCCCACTTCTATTCCTATTTCTTACAGCCTAATAAATGTTGGCCCTGGTAGTATTGTTCACATTCTGATAAAGAAAAAATAAACTAACTCCAATCAGGGCAAACCACTAATGACCCCCAGCACCAATCTGTTCACTCTCCCAACTGCTTGTTATATTCTATTTCCACAAGTCCACATTTCAAATGTCCTCCTTTGGGTGGAGGCTGTAATTACAGTACAACAAGTTTAGATCACCAGCTTCCAGAATAAATCTGGTCACAGGAATGTAGGATGGAAAAATTAAAATACAACATATGATTTTAAACTGGAGTCTGGGTAATACCTGCGCATTCCCCTCCTGGTCCAAATATTTGCCCCAGCTTCATCTGAGGCCAATACTTGCGCAAAGCCAAAGGAGGTTAACTAATTATTTAGATTTTCACACATCTGTTCCAAGCCACAATACCCACTCTGGACAATACCCGGGATCAGTGAATGGGAATCTGTGCCACACACTGACTAACCCTGGCTCTCACTCAAATGCTGTCTTGTTCTACAGAAGAGTATGACTAACCAAGTTCTCATCTGCAGAGACAGGCACTCAACAGATCAATCAGCATTCAGCTCTTTTTTTTTTACTAGAAACCACTAACTTAAAAATCATAGAATGGCTCCGATACAGAGGTGGTAGTTATATTGTTGCGTCAGTAACACTTCCTGTCAGATGACACCATCTGACCCAATGTTACTCCAGTGGACCTCACCACAGCCTGATCTGCCAGTGAGCCACTCACGTCAGCTCAAATCAGTCAGGACAGGTAGTGGAGGGCAATCTTGGATCAGGGTTTACTGTCAGTACAGCCCTATCACAATGGGTAACATCCTTACCTCTGAGACAGAAGGTCATCCATCAGCTCAAGCCCCATCCCAGAGACTCGAAGATAAAGTCCAGGCTTGTACCTGGGAGTTTGAGAGGGAGAAATAACAGGGGCCAGACATCTGGAGACCTCTCTGGCCTTGCTCAAATCATTCTGTCGGACTTTTATATTCACCTGAATAAGTTTAACATCTCATCCGAATAATCTGTGACAGTACAGCATTCCCTCAGTCCTACTCTGGGAGGGTAGGCATATTTCTGGAAAGGAGCTTACCCTCATGGCTTTCTGACAGAGTAGCAAGGCTGACAGAGCCACGGAGAGTCTCGGAATCACAAGGTCCCAGGTTCAAATCCAGAACTTGTGCATCTCAAACCACACTGACACTCCAATGCAGTACTGAAGGAACACTACACCATAGGAGGCACCATTATTCACAGAGACAATAAAATCCATTTCTCCCTGTTCAGTGGGATGTAAAAGATCACATGGCACTATTTTGAAAAGGAGCAGAGTGTTCTTCTCTGTGTCTTGCCCAAAATTTATCCCTCGTTCAACATCACAAAATCACATTACCAGTCATGAGCACACTATGAACCACATTCAGTAATGTTGGCAGAATACGAATATTAATCTGAGATACCTGCACAAACACAGAACCAGACAGTGCCCATTCCCCAAATAGAGAGAGAGCTTTCATTGAACATCTGCACTGACCCCCCATTTATTTATTGAATGAAGCAAACGAAAGAAAATTGCTGCCAATAGAGCTTGTTCCCCAACCTCTGCTCTATTTGTAAGCACTGCAGGGTCACTTGACGCCAACCAGCTACAAATTAAAGTGTTTGTTGGACATCCTGCACCTTTCACGGAGTCATCAAACAGCAAGGAGCTGGAATAACCAGCAGGAATCTCCAGAGTGTTCTCATGACACCAGATACCACCAGAACAAAGCGTTCACTACTTACTTAGCCACCTGATACCCTTCATCTAAACAGTAAATTGGAACTTACTTTCAGGCTTCATACAACTCTTTCTTTGTTCATTCACAGGATGAGGGCATTGCTGGCTAGCCCAGCATTTATTGCCCATCCCAGAGGACAGTTAAGAGCCAGCCACATTGCTCTGGGTCAGGAGCCACATGTCCGCCAGACCAGGTAAGGATGGTAGTTTCCTTCCCTAAAGGAC